AAATGTGTTGGTTATGGTAAAATATTTGCTGTTTGATAGTATGAACTTACATGGTCAAATCTCTTTAATTTAAACAAAATGCGAAGAAAAAAATTTTGAGCTAGAGTTAAAATATGAAAGTTAATTTTAGACGTTACAGCCCAAACAGAAACACAGTACGTCAAATAAGGAAGAATAAGAGAGTTATTTAAAGTTGTTAAGATAAATCTTGGAAATCTAAACCTCAAACGATAAATAAGACCCAAGTTTTTAGATAGTTTACAGGAGATATGTTGATATGATTCAACCAAGATAAGTTAGAGAATAAAATAACTAACAAAAATTTAAATGACTCAACCCTTTCAATAGAAATATTATTTAAATATATAACTGGATAAACAATATCTGTTCTAATTTTAGGACCAAATGATATAAAGCATGTTTTACTTAAATTAATACGTAGATTATTTGAAACAACCCAATCGTAAACAAAATTTAATTCGTAATTAATTACAGAAACAAGTACATTAAAATTCGAATGAGAATAAAGCAGAGTAGTGTCATCAACAAATAAAATAAATTTTAAAATGTTAGAAGAGTAAACAAAATCATGAATATAAATATTGAAAAGTAAAGGGCCCAAATAGAACCTTGAGGAACACCCGATTTAATAAGAGACAACGAGGACATGCAACTACTAATAGAAACAAATTGAGAGCGATCATTTAAATATGAAGAAAACCAATTATAAGCTAAACCATGAATACCAAATGAATATAATTTGTGCAATAAAATACTGTGATCTAAAGAGTCAAAAGCTTTGCAAAGATCTATAATATATGTATAAAGCAAATAAAATGCAAAATCAAAATATTGAAAGGTGAAATCCAAAAAGAAACAGATCATGAAAATCATTTATGTAAAAATGCATGTATATATATATATATATATATATATATATATATATATATATATATATATATATATATATATATACATACATATATGTATAGCATTCACGAGAACTTTAATGGGCGGTATATAAAGTCTACATATTATTATTAAATATATATAAATATATTTTATTATCTCAAAAAATTAGTAAAAAAATGTAAATTTATGTTAATGTATTTTATGTTATGTTAATAAAAAAAAGGAATAATAATTATAACAGTAACCACCCGCTAATTTCGCTTTACAGAATAATTTCTTATAATGCTGTGACGGCACATTGACAACATCGCTCTTGCCTAGACCATCCTTCACAAATGACACGCCTAAATTCTAACAAACATATATGCTTTATGTATATATATATGTTGGTAATAGACCATAATTTTTACAATATTCTATAAATTCTACCAAATGTTTGGCGTTAATATGTTTGTAGTTCGTTTTTTCGATTTTTCTCACTAAAGTTTTTTGGTGAACGTTTAGTTTATTAAAATTCAAAATAAACTTATTTTCCGAATTCATGCTGCAGGCCTATT